AAGAGAATCGAGGATATTTCGATAATTTTGTATTTAATTTGATCGTCGATATCGGGCGTCCTGAGTAAAAGCCTATTGCAATAATCATTTTGGAATATATCCTTGCATGGGACCTTGATAAAGTATATACAACTAATGAGAATGATTGATATCGAAATTTGTAGAGTTCCGGCTTGGCGAGGTGGCTCAGAAATTTATGAATGTTCTTGATACAGTGTGACCCATTTAAAATGGAACCACCCCTGTATCTTACGTAATGGTTGGGTAGGGATCCTGAAATTTGCTGGAGCGAGAGATATACCATAAATGCACTCTATGACCAAGTGGGGTCATCTTCAGTGATATACACTGCTCGCCAACAGCCATGAAACCACCCCAATTTCCGGAAAATTATATTAGGAGTCAAAATAGGTTGAAAATCACGTCGGATTCGGAATCAGGACGCCCAAGTTACTAACTATTCAAAGTTTTCCTATAAGATTTTCAGTTCAGTAAAATTAAAATTTGTCTCACTTCTCATGGAAGCACCCCCGTATCTCACGTGATTATTGAGGTAGGGTTCTGAAATTTGCCGGAGGAAGAGGAAGTCCAAAGATAAAGTCAATTACGTAAGATAAGGGGGTGCTTTCATGAAAAATGCGACAAAATTTCATTTTTCCGAACTGAAAAATGTTCATGGAAAATTTGAATAGTTAGTAAATTGGGCGTCCTGATTCCAAATCTGAAGTGATTCTCGACCTATTTTGACTTCAAATATCATTTTTTGGAAATTGGGGTAGTTTCAAGGCTGTTGGCGAGCAGTGTATATCACTGCATTTTTGGTATATCTCTTGCTCCAGCAAATTTCAGGATCCTTACCCAACGATTACGTAAGATACAGAGGGGTGGTTTCATTTTAAATGGGTCACACTGTATCAAGAACATTCATAAATTTCTGAGCCACCTCGCCAAGCCGGAACTCTACAACACACTGTATCACTATCACTGACCAAGACGTCAAAAATGTGCACCGTGTTATGCAACATCTTAGCAGTGCATGAAAAACGTTGCCCAAAAATATTGTTTCAAAATTCAGCCCACGTGCTTTCAAAGGAAAAGTAATGATCGCAGTTAGGATGTTCAGAAATAAACTCACTGCTCAAGCAGTGGGAATGGAGGGCAATCACCCAACGAACACCTTTCCCCATACTATAAACAACTGTATGAAAATATTCGAGATTTTCGTCGTACTCATAACAATACGTTTTGCTGAATAAGGGATGCGAGAATTTCAATATAGAAACTGATGAAGATCGGCCCATTCATGTGAAAAATAATATTTTCACTAATTTGACATAATTGGAACAATGAGTATTATTACTGATTGAACTGCCTCTTATCCACTGCGAAACATGTTGAATTATACTACCAGAATACACGCGGATTGCGTACAAAAACAGAAGATTTTCCAAATTCATCTACCTAGTGGTTTTGAATACGATCTTATCTGCATCACCGGAACCTGGCTCAAGGATGGAGTCCTCACAGCTGAATTATTTCCAACAGGATATAATGTCTATAGAAGAGACCGGGATGCTGCGAGAAGTGGAAAAAGTGATGGTGACGGTGTTCTCATTAGTGTACGACATTTTAGTTTCGCATAGTGTGCCCGAATAGTGTACCAGTAGTTTAATGAAGGATCTGTGGGTATCCCTAGCGATGGATGGGGTAAATAAACTAAATATATGTTATGTGGATACATTCCTCCGCATGCTGTTTTGAACAATCTTCTTCAGTTTTTCCAAAAAGTTGAGAGTATAATTAATCGAAATGTAGAAGACGATATAGTGGGTTATTTCAACTTATCGATTCTGGGGTGGAAATTCGATGCAGCATTGGAATCATTTCGCCCTATGAACGCCGGGAATGCCTTCAGTGCATGTTTCATTGATAGTTTCTTGTTGTTGAATTTTAAACAAAGCAATAATATTCTAAACAGTAACAATATATTATTATATATTATCTTGTCACTTTCACAATCCATGAAACTGTACAAAGAAGTATATTTCCTTTTGTTGAAGAAAATGCCCATCATATAACTTTAGACGTAAATATTGAAGGGTCCCCTGTGAAGTTATTGGACAGCAAATCTCACACAAAGTTTGAGTTCTTTGAGGCAGACTATATCACAATTAGCATTGATTCGCCTTACAGTATGAAATTTTCCCACAGCTTGGATTAGGATTCCAGAGCCTCGTTGACCAGTATTGGTCCACCTAGATTGATATCAGCAAATCGCCCCAACTTTGCCACAGATGTCCACATATTATTGTCTGATCGGAAGACAGCAAAGATGTTCCCACTCAATGGTGAGGTTGTGCTTGGAGAAGAAGAGGAAAAGAGAAGTTGGCTAAGGAAGGCCGATAGGATAGATTGAATTTATATAATTTGCTCTATTAATGGGGTAGTATAACAACGATGTAATGAGAATCAATAAAAAAAAACACTTGGGATTGTCACATTCCTGCCCAAACCATGTCGCTGCTGATTAACGCAAAAGTTGTGGCATTTCCCGATATTGTATACAGTGTATCTAAATAACACAATAAAAATTCAAGGAGTGATTATTATTCTAGCAAATAGAGTTCATATGAACATGTGTCATTTATAATCCCACTGTATCAGCTTCTCATTGCCAAAATTGAGTATGGTTGGAGACTGACAAAATGATCCTTTCTAGTGTTGTTGCGTAATCTGAATGGGAGTCTTGAAAACACCTACATTAAAATTTGGTGTCAAATCGAATTTTCATCGTTTTCTCGAAAATGAGCTAGATACAAAATTGACAAAGAGGATTTAATAGTTTTCATTTCAATAGTTCAATCTGATGAACATATGAAACTCAGAGGAACCGATGGCGTACATTGAGATTAACCCTAAACATCGATAAATTTACCCACGGTGACGCCACTGGAAATAATGTTTCGAATCTGATTGCACCAGCAGGAGCTCCATAATACTATTAATGAAACCACAACGTTTCATTGGAATTGATGAGAGGACAATCGAGAAATGAATAGTACCGTTTACCCCCGATATCGGGGGTAACGATAGAACATGATTTTTCATGGAAATGCTTATACCCTGTATCTCGAAAACAAAGCAAGTCAGGACACATGTTTATATGGACTTAATGCATTAAAATATCACTAGGAATCACCCCTATTGGCTCTCTTTGGTGTTATTGAGATACACCCTGTATAATTCCAAATATAGATTCAGTTCCTACAACTATTGTATAGTGTATTGTGGTCTCGGAAATGTGACTTTGTCTATATCAAACCCAGTATTCTGAATTGGTGTTTTGTCCCAATGGTATATTGAATACGATACCATGCCACAGTCTGCTCTTGAAGTGAGAGCTTCACTAAATCCTGGTCCTTCATTTGCTGTAACGCTCATATTCATACTGATTGTCAAAGGCAAGTTTGGTATTCTCGCATAAGACCTCTGCTAGTTTATAATAATTATTCTTGAACAAAAAATTATCTAGAAAGAAAAGTACATTCGACAAAAAGTCACAGAAAGTATTCAGGAGTGGACCGTGAATATCTGGTGCCCTTGACTGATACTAATTGGTGCCCTGTTTAATCAACCATCTGATTGCCATTGTATCAAGAAATCATTTTCAATGATGATGTTCTTGTAATGAATACAAGGTATGCGGATAAAAAGGGAACAACAAAAAATTTTATTCAATTTCCGTCGTCTACGTATTAACAAGTTTGATTAATGTAAGTACACGAAATTGGTCTTTAGTGACCTCCCATTACCAATCAATTTGTTTATAAACGAACGATATGGGTATATAACCAAGCCAATCTCAACTCGTGATTTTCCGAACGGGACAAGCTGTAAATTCTGATATTTTGATCATGAAAAAAATCCTAGTGTATCTGAAACAACTTCTACAAAAATTGGGTTATTTTGGTATACCTACTAATATCCATTCACTTCTAAAATCGTACCTCGGTGAATTTACTCATCGACTATTAAAGTGTACAATCTTTCAACCTCATAGCTCAGGACTTTCTTAAAGATCGAATCGGTGGCCTATTTTATTCTTATTATTCACAAATGATATCTGCATTTCAATTGGCACTTTCACAGAAATTACATATATTGCAGATTGCTTCCTTCTGTAAAACGATTTGAATCTTCTTTCCGAATGGTGTACTGTATATTGAGAGATGCAAGAATATGAGCTATTCTACAAAAATTTCTTCATTCTTATTCGACCATATCATCAATAATGGTTAACTCCGCAGGTTAAACGAATGTGAGGATCTGGGAGAAATATTTAACAGCAAATTGATTTTAATTAACGTAAACTGTGAAGAATAAACGAATCTTAAAAATCTCTTTGTTTCATTTACTATACTTTATTGTTTGTAGCAAGCTTGAATTGGCTTGGCTGTCAGAAAATAAGGGCTGAATAAAAATTCCAGGTGAGATTGTAAATATCTAGAAAACCAAGTGAGAATTCGAGAGTCATGGTTATTCGAATTCTTGATCTGATTCCTATTCACACATGACAGTCACAGCTCACGTATGATTTGTGTTTTGACATTTTCAGAATTAATTATAATCAGATAATTGGAAACGTGTCATATTTCAAAGGAACCTTTCTCTTGTTTTGAACCTTTTAACAGTTTTCTCTTATCTAGGTGGAATTTCTCCATCAATCCATCATTATTAACCATTCAAGAACCGTTACTCATTATATAGAAAATCCTCTAATGATGGTGATTGCTCAGGTGGAAAAAATATATTATGCCCCAGGCGCCAAGTAGTCTCAATCCAGTTCTAAATGACGTCATAATGGAGTAACTGTTGCGTCACAATGAAGTTAACCTATAGTCTGATTGGTTAGGTTCGATGAAAATTACCTCTCTCCGCTCCCTGCCGTCCGCCACAGACTTCCCGATATCGTTGGCGTACGCTCCTGCTTCTGCGCGTACCTGCCTCCCAGCCGCCTGAACTGGTCGTTCTCCGGGTGCTCGGCAGCGAAGCGCGCCTTCTTGCGCAGCAGCTGCACCGTCAGCGCGTACGTGACCACCATGATGACCATGGGCGCGTAGAAGGCGATGAGCGAGCCGAACACGAAAAAGGCGCGATTGTTGATGACGCAGCTGGACGCGTCCGGCATTATGTTCTCGTGATTGATTATACCTAGAAGAAAACGGAGCATGAACAAACAGGCAGAGGCACATTGGTTTCAAATTATAGCACTCAAAGATCCAGGAGGTCAATATCGGTCTATTTGAGAGTTTTCTAACGTTGCTCGGAAGGCAAATATACCAGTATGCGCAGTAAAGACGTGTACGTGACCACCATGATGACCATGGGCGCTAAGAATGTGATGAGCGAGCCGAACACGAAACAGGCGAGATTGTTGATGACGAAGCTGAACGAGTCCGGCATTATGTTCTCGTGGTCGATTGAAGAGAACGGAGCATAAACAAATAGGCACATCAGGCACATTGGCTTCAAAACATAGAACTCAATGACTCTGAAGGCCAATATTGTTCCATTCGAGCGTTCTCTAACGTTTCTCTAAAAGCAAATATGTCAGCATGCGCTGTGAAGACGCGTACGTAACTACCATGATGATCATAGGCGGATAGAAGGCGATGAGCAAGCCGAACAGAAAGCAGGCGCGATTGTTGTGGACGCAGCTGGACGAGTCTGGCATTATGTTCTCGTGGTTGATTATACCTAGGAGAGAATGGAGCATGAACAAACTACACTCTGTAGACCTCCAAGTAGACAGAATAACCTTCAACAATATTATCAATTCATCTACAAAACAACACATGTCCCTTTGACAATAATGATCCGTGATCTGTGAAAGTGCGTAAGCGTTGCAGGCACAGACATATTTGTTTCAACACACAAAACTCAAAGACCCAGAAGGCCAATATCGCGATTGTTGATGACGCAGCTGGACGAGTCCGGCATTATGTTCTCGTGGTTGATTATACCTAGAAGAGCATGGAGCATAAACAAACTACACTCTTTAGGCTTCCAATTAGATAGGATTACTTTGAACATTATCATCAGTTCAGCTATCAAACAACAGATAACCATTCGACATAATTATCCGTGATCTGTGAAAGTGCACAGGAGTTGCAGGCAAAAGCACATTGTTTCAAAACAAAGAACTCAAAGACCCAGAAGGCCAATATGGATTTATTTGTCCGTTTTCTAACATTGCTCAAGATGCAACAATGTCAGCATGCGCAGTAAAGACGCGTACGTGACCATGATGACCATGAGCGCGTACAATTGGATGAGCGTGCCGAACACGATGGAGGCGCGATTGTTGGTGATGCAGCTGGACGAGTCCGGCTTTATGTTCCTGTGATTGATTATATCTAGAAGAGAACGGAGCATAAACAAACTAAACTTTATAGTCTATTGAACCCCAACTATAAAGGATAACCTTGAACACTATATTATCAGTTAAGTCACCAACAGATGTCCATTATTTGACATGATGATTCGTCATCTGTGTGAACGTTTCAATCCACAGAACTCAAAGACCTAGAAGGCCAATATCGTTTTATTTGATAGAGATGAGACCAGGTTTTTGAAGCTTTCTTGAAAGAGCAGTATCACTATACTTATCATAATGAATTCTTTTATATTCACATATTGATATATTAGATTGTTCATTGGATGAAAATGGGCAAGTTAATTCGCAAGGTGTTTCAGGATATACCTTTTTTATTTTAGCGATAATTCACCATATTTCATAAAAAAATAGGTGGACATCATGTGGACATGCAAAATATAATGTTTTTCACAACGCTTTCCGAGGGAAATACATCCCTATAAAGTTCAGTTTACAAATCGTTCTCTTGCAATAATTCTAACGATAGCAGACAAAATTTAGTGCTCATGAAATGGTTAGTCGTTGTTCGACTCAAGTGAGTTGTATCAAAATTGTACAATGGCGTTGATGAAGGGGAGTTGTTTCACTTTCCGCGCCATATTCACTTACCACTAAGTTTTTTTCAGAATCAAGATATTTCAGCAAATTGCCTGTTCAATTCAGAAAGGAAGGCTTACTCTGAAATTTTGTTCACTGACAATATGTATTCTCGAACCGATTTAGTTAACGAAAGGAACACTAATTCATTACAAATTCATAAGTATTTTTCATGTAGGAAGAATTATAACTCGCAGTTAACAATTGTGTCTTCGACTGGTTCTGGCTATTGTTCCAGAACCTTCTTCGAACAGTACCTCTCTCTTCAACAGTTATTCCATCGATTGTTTCTAGATGCTTCAAGATTGCTTCGAGAATCTTTTGTCGCTACAGTACATATTGAGTGTCCAGAAATATTATTATTTTACATGTTAGAATCATTGGAATGTTCGAGAACAATCTGGGACAATCTTGATACAAGTAGACCGTTGTAGTCCTGTCTTCTTGCTCTTTCAGGGACATATCACCACACTATGTTATGAAACTTCTCAAGTTGAGTTCACACGAATCAGAGCCAGGATGTGAGTGCTCCTGCCAGGTATAAATAATTTCAAAATATTGGACTATCAGAACGAGACACCATTATTGGAGAATTTAATAGCTCGTCTAGCAGATATGAGCAGAACAGTTACTCAACGGGTATTATATCCATAGTTTCAGAAACCGCAGGACAAAAAAAATCGAAATGAATCGTATTAGCTACCTTCAATTCCACCTCCATAGATCATAACTTGTAGTGATATAGTAATAAACCTCTGATCTGGAGTTTCATCGTTTATTATATTTTTCGACAACATCGATTTTGCAATGTTCTTCGCGTTGTCTCGATAAATATATTAGAACTGGAGATAAAGAGGAATTCAAAAGCAGTCTGATGTACAAACCATCACTTGTATCGCTTTCATGAATAAATGATTACATGTTTCCTAAACTTTTGATTCAAACTTCGGATAGTATGAGTTCCAAACTTACTTTTGAACTTCAACATCCGTTTTCTGGCGGTAGAAATAAAAGTGACTTTCATTGTTCTTGCCGTGTGGTCTTTAGTTGTATAATACCTAATTAGAGCAGTTCTATACGATGAATCATCCATTAACAGGGATACCTTAGTTGTTCAGCTGAAATATTATGAAGAATGGCATATTGTCCCAGAGTGACTGCCTGTTAGCATCAGCGGTTAATCTTCTGGGGAACACCCAAATCAACAGAATGTAAAATCGCAGATCCGTAATCCATCAGAATATACATTTTCAAACCAGTAACTCAACAGAACCATATCTTATAGGAATCGTATTTATCTCTACTTTAGATGCACAGAACCGTAATCCCTCAAACCATATTTTGTATACTGTACATGAGCATACTAGACAATAACAGATTGCAAATCCGCAGATGTGTATTTTTCTATAAACGCAATATCGCAGATCCGCAAATATACAGAATCGAAAACTAACAAACCAACATCACAGCGGAATATTTCGTCAGAACCATAACAACACAGACCGTAATTCGTCAGAATCGCAGAATGACAGACCGGACATCAGCAGACCGTACTTTGTCAGAATCGAAATACAACAAACCGTTTATCGACAGAAAAGTCGAATATCAGAACCGTACATTGACAGAATAGCAAAAAATCAGAACAGTTCATTTGCAGAATCACAAAATATCAGAAATGTAAATTGAAAGAATCGTTATTTGCTAAAACCGTACATCGACAGACTCGTAATACAACAGACCGTATTCCATCAGAATCATATTATATCAGAACGTACAATGACAGAATCTTCTGAAGCAGAAAATCAGCTTCAGCCAAATCGTTATTGCCATCATATAGGATTTCAAATGTGCTGCTCCTATTCGAAGATTATAGGATTTCTCATGATGATTGAAATAAATATCTCAGCAAATACTTATTCAATTGCACAATTCTCAGATTAGGCGGAAATCCGGGTCTTCCTACCGGTAGTAGAATCAGAATCATGAAGAACCATTACACCCAAAAAAGTTGTCTCATAGCTAATTGAATTTTCTTTGTGGTAGGTGTTGAGGTGATCTGTATAAATATGGTACACAAAGTACTGACAGCAAGAGGAAGACCTTAGTAATTGACATATTTTTAGGATAATGTCCAGTGAACAGTAAAACTTAGTACTCACAGTGAGTATACTATTTTATTCAATATTGGTATACTATCGATTCGTTAGAAATGAACAGTTTGATTGTTAATAATCAACCAATTGTTAGTAATATACTGTACACTTACTGTATTTGAACTTGTTTTTCAACAGGCTGGAATCGTTATGGATCAACAATAGGGAAATTAACCAATGCATCGACAACATTGTCTTTTCTAGGTAGGTACGTTAGGGAGTATAACTAGACCTTCGAGTTATGTAGGTGTAGGAGATTATTATGACACTCGATATATTATATATTGTATTGACGAGATGTTGTGTGGTGATGACGACAAGATAGAATCAACCTATTCATTATAAATGATCCATGTATGAATAAAATACTATTAGAATTATTCTACATCAGTTAAATAGTTATATAACATATAGAATCAGTATCTTCATTTGAATAACCTCAGTCCATTGGAATAGCCCAAGATTGGTGGATTCTCTTTCTCACATGGTATGCCAATGAGCTATATAATTAATTTTTGTTTGTGTATATGAACAGGGACTGTGTAAACACGAGTGGTCTGGAATATTGCTGAATTTTATTCGTGAGACTTCGCAACTGGCTGAAATTTGTAGAAACTCAATGAATTTCAGTCAACAGTCAGACGAATGAGCAACATCGTCACTACTATGAGCTGTCGAGCGTCAATAGAGAGCTAGAGTCGCAATACCTATACCATGAAATTTATAGAATTTTTTGCAGTGAATAGAACTCACACTACTCACAGTCGTCGCTTCGATTTGGAAAAAGTTACTATTGTATATAGGACGAAACGGCATACGGAAAAATGAACTTTTTGAGCATCTGAATACTATGGAAGATATCACTCGGCTTTTGAGCTACGGAACACTTCTACAACTCAAAACCTTGGTTCACTCAGTGATGAGCATTTTGAAACACAGGTCATTCATTATCAACAAATAAACGTAGGGATCAATATAGAAATTGTTATTCGAATTTTCTTT